GAATTTTGATTTGGAATGAAATAAACCACACGTCTACCATAGACCTTTTCTTCCAACATGACTTGGAATTTAATAAAACATGTGTACTGGCTATTCATGTATCTGCTACTGTAAACAAAATACACTCTAATTTTTATTTTTTGGTTGAATACCTTTATTTTATACCGATATAATATGCTGGAGGTTGGGGCCACGAAACATAGCATTGCGAGGTGGGGGAGCACTAAACGCATGGCCAAAAAAGCCACCAGTTCAAGTGAGACATTGTAATGCTTTAATTATTAAATAATAAAGTGCTGGAATTGATCACAGGAAGATCTTCAAAGCTGAGTTGTGTTGTATCATGGATTCCAGTGTAATGTAATCACATCCCTGATAAAACAAACACTTTTTTTTTCTAAACCGTTATATTACATAGTCATAAAACCAAGCATACAGTATAATTAATTATACAGTTAAACACTTGTAAACGTTATATGAGGCACGGGACAAGACATGTATGAAATACTTTTTCACATACTCAGTACAGACAAGGTTCAATTAAAACGATCAAGCAGTCTGCACCCCCATTAATGATCATAGTATTTTGCTCCCATCTAAATGGGGATCCTATGTGCTCCAACACTATTCTGCATGGTTATATTATTTTCTGTGTTACATTTAAGGCATATTACCTAATACAAAGTTCATTTCTAGGACTGAAACTCCAGAGAATGTTACACTACATGATGCAGTACCTTTTTTTTGTAACAAGCAGTTAATGCTTTAATAGCAGTTTCTTAATTTGTTCAAGTAAGCTGCCCTAATTTAAATTTTAATAAACAAAACATTAATAATATGCACAATAAGTTCACTCTTCTTATTATTAGATTATATACATCCCCTTACTGTCCTGCAAATTATGTAACAGACCCAATGATTATCAGACTTAGCAGAAGACGCCTCTCCTCTAACTAAAACAAAAGGATTGCTGTAGTCACCAGCTATGGAGGCTCTTTGCCTATTTATCACTTTACATTTATCAGTGAGCAGACTCATTGCAGAGGTAACCTATTTAGTGCTATCTGGAAATTTAGCAATGTATATAAAATTTACAAAATTAATAATTGAGTGTGTCTTGGTATTGGTAGAATATGACTCCATACTGCTATTCAAAATCAACCCCAAAGTTATCTGAACAAGTCACACCTACTTTTGGAAAGCCCTACCCCTTAAAGAGCATGAACATGGACTGCAGAGCTTCTTTCCAGAAAATATTATGTCCACAAAGCAGCTTTGTGTATCCCTAGGCAATGAACATAAACTCGAATGATGCTGAGACATGGCTACAATGAACAGCAACCAGCAAGAAATTGGAAGAAATAACTTGAAAGCCAAATAAAGGCATCTATGTAGCAATACTAAACTCATAGTAACAGACTTTATCGAGAAAAAAACAGGTGCAAGTTAACCCATTAGAACAGCCTGTATGGTACAACTGTCATAATTTATCCTTGCTGTTCTCTGATTTCCATTGCTACTGATTGGCAGCTCAGCTGAGACAACAAATCACAGCACAGACAGGTAGGGGAGAATACCATCATGGAGACACATCAGGGCATAGCATCCATCTGTTTCTATGAATGACTGCTCTGCAGGTGGATGGATGGAGTCTTAATTTTTCCTGTTGTTATTAATCCACTACTGATCCTTAACCATATTTGTTTTATTCCTTAGAATATATATTTTTTAACTTCTGGTAACAAAAAAGGTAACAGTGATTGCTCTGGAAGTCAAATTTTAAGTACTGGGCCTAGATACAGAAAATCAAGAACAAAGCTCCAAAACCGATTACCCGTAATAACCATTCAGTAATTATCTTCCTTTGCATTGACTATGCTTAACGGGTCAAATATGACATTTACTTGTGTATTTTGCCTGTAGTTGGGAAAATTTAATCATTTATAATATTCATTATAATATTTATTTACATTCATGCAGCCGCACGGCCAAAACGGCTATATTCAGTTTATCATATGACATTTTTTAGTTTTTGATGGCTAGGTCTTTATGTGAGAGCAATAGCATAGTACAGGACAGCACCATCTGTTCAGTTTGAAAAGAAAAAGCTCATATACGGGTTCTGTAGATCAGCCCATCTTTCTGCTGCTAATAAAAATTATAAAACCTGCAATCAGAGTTGGGAGGAGCTCATGTGAGCTTCCTATTGTTACTAATGACCCAAAATTCATTAAAAAAGATACAATTATTGGTAACAATGTTGTATTTTCATTGGTGAACCCTGTATTTGCAGAAGCAAAAGAATACCTTATGCTGCCAGTTTCAAGTAATGGTAAAAGATTCTTCTACTGGGTGTTGCAGATCACTTCAATGGAACAGTTAAGAGTGACAATGATTGAGTTTGCTGGCATATATCTCAATCTTGACAGGATAGGTGCTTTGGCTGGTCTGTTTCATAAACTACATACTCTGTAGGTTGGCTGGCCTCAGATACATATATATATCCATATTTGCGATATTCAGACTTCGTAATCTCTAAGGCTGGTTGACCATGAATTCAAAGTCCTATCATATCACAATACAGTATGAAACAAATCAGCCAATTCCATGTCGCTGACAAGGGGAGAGATGGCAGAGACAATCATTGGCAGGTCAGCCATATATATTATAACTACTCATGTTCCATCTTTCTGTAGGTAACTGGTCATTGTTCACTGTTAGGGAAAAAGTCAATGTTTGCGTCATGATGGTGCATAGTATTAGCAGCCATTTGATTTGAATTGTCTCTACATAGGAAAGCAAAGAGAGTAAGGGGAAATAAATGATAATTTGTTTATTAATTGTTCATTTTTAAAGTGCTTAAGTCTATTTGATCGCTGTTTCCATTTCTTTGGCTATAGTGTGCACACACCCTTTCTGAGTGCATTAAGATCTACCTGCTGTAGAAATCATCTAGAAACCAACTTCCTCTGTGTGTGATCTTTTCAATGTACATCTCTGACGTTTTCATTGTTCTGTATATTACTCAATGTTTAACAAATCCATTTTTTTTTATATACTGGTAGAATAACTAAACACAAGAGTTGATGCTCCCCATATTCACTCCCCTTTCTCTAAACAATGACTGTAATCTCTTACTATTGCTATGCTTCCTGACTTTATACTTCACTGTGACATTCACCGAGACATGTCACCAGTGACACACAGCATAATACAATTACACTGAAAAGAAAAAAAAGCATGGCCCTAAATGCGATCTTCCATGAAGACCATTCCCCTTCCTCAGTTGAAATGGATGTATACATTTACATATATATTGGGTAAATGCATCATACTCTTCTAGAACAGCATAGTAATGTTTTATATCAACCATAAAGATCTTACTAAACTGGATATTGTAGGGTCTATTACAAAGCATCACATTTCTTGTGCCTCCCAGAAAATGTGCTAAATGAACCCATGGCTCGCCACTGTACAGTATTAAGCATAAATATATTCCATGCACAGAAAAATCATAGCTACAATGCTGCAAGGACATGTGCCTAACATGGTATATGTGATTGGATGAAAAAGAAATTCGGTGTCTAGTATGGCCTCACAGAGTACTCAGGATACACAAAGCAGCAAGCAGACATATACTAGTGTAACATAAAGTGCACCCATTGCCTGTAGTATGGAAACAGACCTTTCAGCCTTCATTTATAAACAGTAACATTCAATGATGTGTTAGCCCATCAGCGAAAGCCTGTCATTGTTCTGACAATACTAACATTATGAATGGTGAGATCTGATTGGTCACTATGTGCTGCTCTCCACCATTGCCCTTTGGACTGCCTGACTATATAAACCTTAGAGTGTGCTACCCCAGCTCTCTACAGAATAACTAGACTCCTCAGTTCATATTAGCTGTCGCTTGCATTCACATGAATAGGTGATGGCTGCATACCTAGATTTGTTTGGTTTATGACAGGAATAGGATTGATGAAGGATAGAAGAGGGCACATAACATAGCATATGACATGTCCCTTTATACCATTTTTCAGTTTTCCATTTATAAATGCATATCTATTTTTTAAACAGCTGGCCTCGGGGGGAAGGAAAGGGGGGTGGTTAGTTATTTGGGCTGTGACCACCAAGACTTAACAACAAATCAATTATGAAACTATCTATTGTTTCCTTCACTGGGCCTACTTTCGTTTAGACCAGATCAGAAACATCATTGATTTCAATCTATTGATTTGGGGAAAGTGGAAAGATACAGAAAAAAATGCAGCACAATGAGACTTTTTAAGCCAGGTATAGGCACTATGAGGCCCTTGAGATTTTGTTGAAACTCCTAGGCCATTATTTCAGTTAATAAGGCAATGAGCAATGCCCAAAGTGCAGTAACTTATAGAAGCCACTCTGGAATAATTTTCTTTGCTCCAAATATCCAAAACTCAGGAAAGCTGATATTTGACTGGTGGCTAAGGTTACCAGGACATCACTGATCTCTATGGCATCTACAGGGCTGATTATGCACCCTTAAGCTATTTGTATTGTGCCACCCTCCTTTATAACAGGTAAAGGTAGCTTCACAGTTCTAGAAATTTTATATAATTTAAATAGGTTTATTCTACATTAGATTAAATGTTACTTCGTTATGGTTTTACCATTAGACTTAAATAATAAAGAACTGTAATAAGATTATGAAACGTAATAATCTACCACCCCCTTTATATGTTTGCAGCCCTAGGCCAAGCCCTGTGTGGCATTTAAAAAAATCTAGGTCAGGTGACCTGGTGTGAATAGACTTGTGTTTTGGCAACAGCCAAGTAGCCACAGGATAGCTCCCCCAGCCATGAGAAGAGCACAGAAGGTCTCCATACAAGCAGTACAAGTAAGTGTGAGTACAGAGATCTGAGGAGTGAGGCTCTTGTCGTGTGTAGTTTGGGATTGGGGAGTGAGGTGAATTAATGTTTTAACATGTCGATGAATGAAAGAACGTGTGTGGGCACCCATTAAATTCTCATTTGAGCAGTTCTGCGCCGAGACAGTTTGGACCTAAGAAAGGAGCAGAGAGAGAGAGAAAAAGAAAGAAAGAAAGTCACTTAAAGTGAAATGTCACCTTTGCATCCCAAAAACAATAGGACACATTTACACCATTTTACGCGTCAATGCCCATTGCAGCTCATGTACCAATGCATTTGATAAAGTTTCTTAATGCATGTCCATGTGCTAAGAATGTATATAACCCCAACACAGTGCGGTGTGTCAAGGATCCTGGGTGTTGCTTGGTCCGTGGATGTGCTTTGGTAGCACATTAGAAAGGAATGGGTTCCCCCCCCCCCCCATACCAGACACATTGGTGTGAATACAACCATCCTATGTGCTCTCAGGTAGAATACAGTTGTATGAAAAATATTTTACAGTCTTCTCAATTCAATAGTTTTACTGAAAAGATGCAAATATAACCTCTATAGGGGGCAAACATGACATATTCCCAAAATATATTTCTTAATTCACAGTTACTCTTTAACTGCTATATTGTGGGAGCCAAAACATTTGCACACAACTGCATTTTCAAATCAATTAAAATCATCTTAAAGAAAATCTGTCAGGATATAAAATAATAACCTCTAAAATTATTAATATGAGAGTGGATATTGCCAACTTGTTTTTGAAGGTGCACACTCCGGGGCTGTTCTGCTGATCCTGGCTGTATTGATTTATAAAGAATTTGCATAGCCATTTGCCCAGTAAAAGTGCATATACATTTGTTCTGTGAGAATGGGGCAAATATGTAAATTTAAATAATTGCTTTTAAACAGAAAATACAGCATTTGGCCACTGGATAGTATATTCCTCCTCCATGATGCTTAGGTCCATTTAGTGCAATTTCAAATGCCACACAGAATCACATGACAATGGAAATCACATTATTTTCAGTAGTGCCCATTCACATCAGTGCAATTCAGCATATCACATAGTTAGTCTGGCTGAAAAAAGTCCATCCAGTCCAACTATTAAGAAAAAAAAAAGTTATAATCTATACCCACAGTTGGTCCAGAGGAAGGCAAAAAAAACAGCATAGCATTACCCCATTTGCTCTTGCAAGGAAAAAAATTCCTTCGTGATCCCCGAGCGGCAATCAGATATTCCCTGGATCAACTTTACCTATAAATGTTGGTATCCAGTTATATTCTGTGTATCTAGGAAAGAATCCAGGCCTTTTTTAAAGCAATCCACTGAGCTGGCCAGAACCAACTCTTGAGGGAGTCTATTCCGCATTTTCACAGCTCTCACTGTGAAGAAACCTTTCCGCGTTTGGAGATTAAATCTCTTTTCCTCTAAACGTAAAGAGTGCCCCCTTGTCCTCTGTGTTGACCTCAGGGTGAATAACTCTACACCGAGTTCACTATATGAACCACTGATGTATTTATACATGTTGATCATATCCCCCCTTAATCTCCTCTTCTCAAGAGAGAATAAATTCAGTTCCTCTAATCTTTCCTCATAGCTGATCTCCTCCATGCCTCTTATCAGTTTGGTTGCCCTTCTTTGTACTTTTCCCAGTTCCCCAATGTTCTTTTTGTGAATTGGTGCCCAAAACTGAACTGCATATTCCAGATGAGGTCTTACTAATGATTTGTACAGGGGTAATATGATATCTCTCTCTCTGGAGTCTATACCTCTTTTAATACGATGAGAATAGTTACATAAAACGCGTTTGGAAAAGATTCCTGTACTACTTTGGATCGATTCCAGTGGACATTAGCCCCATAGAATATGCAAACCACATCCAAATTGCACATAATTGTATATATAACCTTACATGGACAGGATATGGCCTAAGTACATGTGTGTTTGACTTTTCTCTGAACTAATGTACATGCACTTTCACTGGACAAATCATTATGCAAATTCTTTATAAATCAACCCCTATGTGTCACTTTTGTAGAACAAGCAAAGGCATGTCAAGTCTCCGAAAACCACGACAAGTTTGTTTCATGTTGGTGACTCTTCAAGTACTGACGAAGGGATTGGGCTCTTTTTACCTCCTTATATGATTCTGAATGTTCAGAATTCTCTGATTCGGTGTTGTTCTAGCACTGTGTGGGCAGAACTTAACATATAAAACATCCAAACATTTCCAATGTGCACTGGAAGATCAAATTTCTATAAGTGACACTGGACATGACTGAATTTTGCAATCTATTTATGGCGATTCAAGCAACATTTGACTCCATTTGTCTCACACAGAGATGTATGCATATATTATATAAACATATATCACCCGAGGAAACCAGTGGATAACAGTAAAATCTAGTGTCTGAAGTACTCAGTTAAGGGGAACAGAAATGGAAAAGAAAGGTATTCAGTAAGAGAAAATGCTGAATTTATAGCAAATATCTTACAGCAAGAGAAAGGAATGTAATTTATAAAGTAAGCTGAATTTGGTTTTAGGGAGTCATGTTTTATTGTTGCTACATTCACGGTAGTGTACTTTTTGTGGCATCAGTAGTAAATCTTCCAAGGGGTCACTTGTAAGAGTTACATTATATCGCAGCATTGGGCCAGTGCTCCATGACATAATGTATTAGGGAACCTGGTGACCTCTCTGTGGCAGTGGCAGTCATTGCTATATACTTTTAACTGCCAGCTCCTCAAAACTGGTGGTAGTTCCTTTATATCCCCTGCTTGTTAAACCCCCTCATTGTGATCATTAACCTTCCTTGTTTTGTCCATGTTGTTTGCCACCCATTAGCCTTTAATCCTTCATGTAACGCACTCTTTTGCACTCTTTGAGGTCATTGTTATCTCTATTTCTACCCCGTTTTTTATGGGTGACCAAAGGCAGACCCTTATCTTCACTATTATTAGCCTTCTCTTACATTTGTGATTAGTTGTGGTTCTTTGACACACCTCTAATGACACCCCTGTTCCCTTTAAACTGATAGTCATTGATGGCCCTTTATTTTCTCCATAAGAGTTGATTCACACATGTGCAGTGTGGATTGAAGCTCAGGTTTCACAGCTAATTGATACAGTAGCTGTTCACGGGTTCAGGTCAGGTTTACATCAGGTTCAGGACAGGATTAGCTCAGGATATTATCCTGTTCACACATATGCGGTCTGGGAACAGCTCCCATAGACGTCAATAGCTTGTAATCCACACCTGAACCTGAAGCCACTGCTCAGAAATCGGACAGGACTCTTTTTAAAACCACACTGAATCCGCACCGCCAGTGCACCGGACATATGTGAACAGGCACCATAGGAAACAATGGTATTTCACATGTCATGCGGATTGAATGCGGTTCAAACCGTTTCCAATCCGCATATATGTGAATGGGCACTAAGGAAACCCAGCTTTATATTTCTGGTCAATGGGGTATTTGTGTCTTAATAAGAGCATCCTTCACACTGATGGTCAATGTGTGAATGATCTCTCAACTCATCAGTCTCTTTATTGTTCTCATGTGCTGTAGTTATATTGTGTATGCAGGGAAGCTGGACCTTCTCCTTGAGAGCTGTAGAAGCCTGCCCCAGAAGAATATTTCTTACTGCTCTCCTCTTCCCAGAACTAGGCTGGCTCTGGTGGGTTGATTATTAATGTGCAGAAAAGCAGTCTGTGCGTATCCCAGTCTAAGCCAGAAATACAGCACTCTATAACTGCATGGAAGGAGAGGAAATTAAAAGAGCCATCATTCATGTCTGAGATATCATTTTCTAATCTGTGTATGTAAAATGGTCAGTGAAATCTGGATACTTTAGGCAGCATCTCAATTCTCCTTTTCTCCAGTTTTAGAAACTCAGCCTAATTGTAACAGCATACATTTTTTACTAATGATTTCATCAGAGATATAACTTCCCAAATATAATGCCACATCTATGTTTTCAAAAGTATATGAATATTATAGTTTCAGAGACATTGATTCCACAAATATAGAAAATAATTTTTTACACTGTATGAACTTTACACCTGGAAGAAGGGGCAGCAGTTTGTTGCAAATGAAAAAGAATTGTTACGTTTGCTACATTGTTATGTTTGTCTCAGCATAATGTCAGATTTCACTGCATTATGATTTTCCCTCCCCATTAATGGAGTGGGCACTGCAGTCCATCACATTTCCTCACCGAATGGAGCCAGCCAGAAGAGGGTTAAAGGCATACAGCCAATCATGCATGTCCTTGTCATTGCTGGCCTGCAGCAGAATGCCGCGATGTTGCGTGCACACAGCAAAGGTGTTGGGGGTCTGCAGAAAAAAAGCAAAAGACATAACTATTAGAACAGCACGTGACAATTTGTTTACATTAAAATGGTGCCCAGAAACCTTACCATTCATGCGGGGATGAGATTGGCAGCCAAGTGGCCCCAAGTTAAATTGTTACTAAACCAACAACAGTAAAATCAGTTTGTATATGCAGTAAAGCATGCTTGATATACTCACTGTGGAACCTAAGGGGTTAATCCTCTGCATTGTGTAAAAAGGCTGTTTGATCCTGACTTCTCTGATCCTCCCCTTCTTCCAGTGTCCTCCTCTTATCTCCTGATAAGACATATGGTGTGGAGTCACTCCACACATGCTCAGTTTGGTGTGTATTGCTAGAGAGCTTTTTTTTTTTTCTTGGGAGAGTGCATGTGATCAGCACAGGGTCAATCAGCACTGCCCAGACAGTGGTCAGGGGTCTGCATCCTCCTAGAGCAGAATGAAAACTCCTTCTACAAGCTTTAACATTTGCTCTGCTGGACACTGATAGAAGTCACAAGACTGCTCTAACTGCTGATGAGAAAAGGTATTTAGCTGTTTATATTTACTAAAATAATTGCATTTCCATGTTCTGTGTACTGTGGGAGACCAGATATGGTGAATGCAGGATCCTGGGTTTAGTAACACTTTAAGTGTTAAACTCTTTTAAGAGTGAAATCATTACCTCCCTTATTAATAAGAAAACTACTGCTACTGAGCATGACCTTGAGCCTGGATTAACCTTTGTGTGGTGCGGTGTATCGCATGTGATTCGCACAGGGACTGCACCACGTTCCTGTGTAAATCACATGTGAATTATGTGCGGTGCGATTGGAGCCATATACTGTATTCTGTATGGCTCCAATTGCACCGCATCTGCACCAAAAAAGTGCAGAACCCTTTTTTAGGTCCTCACTTGTATCGGATCGAACAAGTATTCACACCTATGCGATCAGATTCTGCATATCGTACCGCATTTTGCGCACCGATTTTGAGGTGTTGTTAACTTAACATACACACCCACAGTGGTTCACATGAACGGGGTGCGATTTTGATGTGGTGCAGAATTCACACAGAAAACGCTGCAAATTCCGCATCGCATCAGTGCAAACCCAGGTTTAAAGTAATTTGCTAGATCTAAGACAAATAATATGTTGCTTTTGTCAGGGAAATATTAAATATTGAGTATTATTATTATGAAGGTTTTTTCCATTCAGCAGTTGGAGCTCTAGTCTCCTAATCACTTCATTAGCATGATTACTTTTCAGCTGCCATTGTTTACAGGCCAACAGTTGTTTGCCAAAGCAGTTGACTTGCTGTATCTCTTCCAACAGAGCTGTAAAGCAAGCTGCAAAAAGCAACTAGAATAAAAAGAACCCACATTAACCACTTCCCGTCTGGCCCATGTATATAAACGGCCAGACGGTGGCAGTGCAGGGTTGGGTGGCCGTTTATAAATGGCCTCCCCACACCTTGCTTGTGCGCGCTCCCTGGGAGCGCGCAGCACCGCGATCTGGTGCCAACTGTGTCCTCCGGACACAATGGAACACCGATCGTCGGACGGGACCTCTGTACGAGGTCCCGATCATGTGATCACTGATTGGCCATTCAGTGATCACATGCAGAGTAGTAAACAATGTCACTTCTGACATCATTGCTTACTACGCAGGGGCGGACTGACAACTCATGGCCCCCGGGCAATAGGGGATCATGGGGCCCCTGTGTCCTTGGCCAAACTCAAAAAAGCCTATAAAAAAGGTACCAGGGGCATCTCATGGGGCCCCCTACTGACCCCGGGCCCTCAGGCAGTGCCCAAGTTTTCCAAATGGTCAGTCCTCCCCTGTTACTACGTGTGAAATCTGTGAATGATCACAGAAGTGACATGGTACAAGGCTATTCACAACAGCCTTGTACCATGTGACAAGCTGTGACCAATCACAGCTCACTCAGTAGTTTTCAATAGCTGCAAGAATGCAGCTAGAGAGAAGGAGAAATTATTACTTTTACATCCTTTATGGGTGTAAAAGCAATCAGTGTAAAAAAAAAAAAATATCTTCATCACCCCCCACAAGTAGTACAGTGTCACCATGGTGACACTGTACTGCTAGAGTGACAGTATGTAAAAAAAAAAAAAAATAAAAAAATAAAAAATAATATAAAAAAAATGTTTAAAAATTAAAAATTTTTGGTTATAAACTAATTTGGGTTATTTTTTTTACTAAAAATATAACGGAATAAATTTTGGGCAAGATTTATGATGAAATACTATTTATTTGCAACAAAAAATTCCAGCAGTGAATAAATGCCACCAAAATAAAGCTTTATCTGTCTCAAAAAAATACTAAAAAATTCATATGGGTACAGTGTTGCATGACCGCACAATTGTCATTCAAAGTGTGAAAGCGATGAAAGCTGAAAATTGCCCTGGTCAGGAAGGGGGTAAAAGTGTCCGGACTGGAAGTGGTTAATGTAGTTTTCTTTTAAGATCCAAATATACTCATGGTACTCCCTCAACTTAGCGGCAGTACAGGCACCATTAGCAGCTTTAGATGCTGATTCCATTCCTGGCCAGCTCAGACTGCTACTTTCTTTAGGAATAGAGAATATGTTTCTGGATGGAGAGTGGGTTTCAGGGTGGAGGACAGGATTGAGGATGGAGATAAGGTTTACAAAGAGGTGAGATGGTGGGTTTCAGGAGAGACAGTAGGATCAGGGTGGAGAAAGGGTTTCAGAGTGAAAAGTGGGTTTCAGGTGTGAAAGTGGGGCTGTCAATGCAAACATGTATCCTCTCTTTCTTATCTATGACACCTTGATCTCTGTATGGTAATATATTAGTGGTAATTGAGCATCTCTTAGTATGAACACAACTGATCAATCTATGGATGTCACTTACTCAACTACTGATTGCTACCTCCTCAGTGGACATAACACCCACATTACACTGCAGGCCCAGGAACATGTTATTAATCATTTGGGTTGTAGGTGTGGCATGATCTTACCTTCAGCATGGCCTGTTGATCCTCACTGTACTCCACCTGAGCCTGAGAGAGATTAAGAATGGCCCTCTCCACTTGATCTCGATCACTATTATAGATGTAGACATAGGGACGTCTGACCACCACATACCTCTTTACCCAGCCTCCGGTGTGAGGCTCCAGAAAGTGCAGGTACCCCTTCTTAGAAACAATGGGGCTGAAAGGAAGTAAAAAAAAAAAATAACTTGTTTTCCAAAAATTCAGTATTTCAAACTAATGATCAATACGCATATATACTACTTACTGTCCATTAACAATCACCTGTTTATCCATTGCCTCATTGCGCAGGTGTATATCTCCAAAGATTTAATATGAATAATATCCATCTATGACACTCTTTGTCACTAACATCCTTTTAATGGCTTAAAAAGCTTTAACAGGATGCTTACAGTTTGTGAGTTCTAGTGCTCATGGCCGAACTTACATCTCAGAAGCCTATAGGCAGAGAATTCTCAAGCCCCCCCCTCCCCCCCCCCCCCCCCCCCCCCCCCCCCCAAAAAAAAGACAGTAAGACCGATTTTTATTTTTCTCCATAAAATATTTTTATATAAATATTTTTATATGTGTAAGGGGGTGTGCTGAGGACTTTAATGTAAAGGGGGAACACTGCGGACTGTGATGTAAAGGGAAACTGTGATGTAAGGGGGTCTCTGGTCACCAGAGCCCCCCTTTACACAAAAGTGTCCAGAGTTCCCCTTACATCAGAGTCCTCAGAGTTCTTCTGTACATCAGAATCTGCAGGGTTCCCCCTTACAGTGCAAAGGGTACCTCTAAGGGACCCTGGTGTAAAGGGAAACTCTGATGTAAGGGCTACACTGCGGACCGAGATCTAAAGGGGAACTCTGATGTAAGGTGGTCTCTAGTCACCAAGCCACCCCCCCCCCCCCCTTACATCACAGTCAGCAGTGTTTCCCTTTACATCAGGGTCCACAGTGTTCCCTCTTACAGCAAAGTTCCCCTTTACATCAGGGTCCACAGAGGTCCCCTTCCACTGTGGGAGGGGGGCTCTGGTTACCACAGCCCCCTTCACATCTCTGTGGAGGGGGTGATGTTTCATCGTGTACACAGTGACCTGTTCAGTGTGATTCACCCTCCCCCCTCTGCAAGCAGCTCAGCTGTCTGTGACAGGCCTTCATTTCCAGGACTCCTCGGGACAGCTGAAAATTAAAAAAAAAAACGTATACAGATGGGCACCCCTTTAGGAAGGGCGTCTGTAAGCACATGCCTACAGTGCCTATTGGGAAATCCGGCCCTGCATGTTACTATTGTATAACTACGATTTTCACAATTTGGTGTCCAAGATTATATTAAAATTAAAATTCTTGATTTTTCTGTATCTGTCTCATGGAACCTCCTAAAAACACCATAAAGTGTTAAGACTACCCTTGGCAGCAGCTGGCAATTACTTTCCAAGAAACAATGCAAATACTGCACATTGTAACAGCTGTAATGGCTGTTTGGCAGGCACAAAGACACACGCAGTTGTATCCTATGAATGTGTGGGTCTTTGTGTATTACTATAGGCCAGCATAATGCAACCTGGCCTTTAAAAACCCACTGAAAATGTATTGAATTTCCAAGGACCGGCTAGATCACTCCAGAAATAATGGGTATTTCAAAGAGGTCTTCAAGCTGGTCTATGGCTCTGCTCAAACAGCTAATCAGAAGCGGGCTCAATCTTTTTCTGGTCATTTCAACACAATGAATGGAGAACTTGTTACACCTAACACAGAGTCAATGATGTAAAACCCATTTCTTAAAGGAATGACGTTTCTGGGCTTCAAACAATTGCCACATATGCAACATAAGACTTTAGACTTCTACTTACCTTACCCGGACTTCCTGTATGTCTGGAACAAACATGCTAGGAGGTATCTTGAGCCCTGTGCTGGGAGACTTCTGCAGCTCTTTGGCAGGACTTGGAAGATCTCTCTCAGGACTGAAAGCTAGTGAGAGTGGCTGGGGACTGGAAATATCAAAAGATATATCAAAAATATCACAAAAGCAGTGTCAAACATAACACTAAGCAAGGCAGGTAATGTCACATTGTATGTGGTGTATTTTGGCTTTGTGCTGTCCTAGGCAAGATTAAAATCAGTTGCCCACCCCCCTCTAAATTTGGCCCACCCCTTCATGCTTAAGATAGCAGCCCTTCATCTGTAAATTCCACCCCTTCCTGTTTAGGCTCCACCTCTTCCAATTAGAGCTTCGCCTCAGGAGTTGGTCAGAGACTGTGGACATAGTACAGGAGATGGTAAGAGACTGCAGACATACTACAGGAGATGGTCAGAGACTGCAGGCATAATACAGGAGATGGTCAGAAATTGCAGACATAATACAAGAGACAGTCAGAGACTGCAGACAGGATACAGAAGATGGTCAGAACTGCAGACAGGATACAGGAGACTGTCAGAGACTGCGGACATAGTACAGGAGATGGTCAGAGACTGTGGACAGACTACAGGAGATGGTCAGAGACTGCGGACAGGATACAGGAGTCAGTCAGAGAATGGGACAGGATACAGGAGACTGCAGACAGGATATAGGAGATGGTCAGAGACTGTGAACATGATACAGGAGATGGTCAGAGAAATCGGACAGGATACGGGCAGAAACTGCAGACAGGATACAGGAGATTGTGGACAGGATACGGTCAGATACTGCAGACAGGATACAGGAGACTTCCGACAGAGTACAGGAGATAGTCAGCTGAGCCCTGCCAAGCCCGTCCCTCCTGCCTGAGCCCTGCTGAACCCACCCTTCCTGCCCAAGCTCTGCCAAGCCCTCCCTCTCGCCCCAGCACTGCTGAGCCTGTCCCCCGCCTGAGCACTGCTGAGACCACCCCTTCACCCGAGCACTGCCATGATGCCACTGGTCCCGTCTGCCTGGGGGCGGTGCCACTCCCCCAAAAAATGCTGCCCAAGGCAAATGCCTTGTTTGCATCATGTCAGATAAGCTCCTGGTCACATGACAGTATGCATGCAATCACTGTGGCTTTCCTAAAACTTTAGGTAGTGTAGAGCAACTTGCACTTCACCATATAATGTACATTAGTGAGAAAAAAGACCCATTAAATACGGTTATAGACAGGATTGTTTTCCCTGAAAAAGCATCTGTCACACATAGGTGTTGGTTTACTAACTGCATCTCAATCAACCTCGTAGCTTGTTTGAACTTACATAACTGACCTGGACTCTGGGCTGCAGTATCGCCCTTCTACCAGGGATGGACAGGTGCTGGATGGTGTGAGAGATGATATTCCCATTCCAGGAAGAGAAGGGTCACGTAAAAGTGTAACTGACATCTCAGACAGCTGAAATAAAAATTCACAAGTCACTAAAGAGGTATGCACTAACTATGTGTGTTACAAGCTCTAACCCATTGTAACATATCAGACATTATTGTACACTCTGCAGTCGCCTGTAGAACCTCAAAGTTACCTTCAAAACTGTTTAACACTTCCAGTCCCTAACACAAGACTAACAGAACAGCCAGATATAAGTTTGTGTTACTCTTTGTTGGGAATCTTCCGAAACCTTTGAGATTGAGAAAGGATTGGAATTTGTTTGAAAGGTTGTTGGAATCACGTGGAGATGGGAAACGGGGCACGGCAAAAGTCTATAAGATTCTCACTGAGTTAGACACACACACAAAGTCAATGCACATAGAAAAATGGGAAAGGGACTTGGGAATAGAGATAGATGAAGACAAACAAAGGAAAATATATAGACTAACACATGAGAATATAAGCATGAGAGAGGTGGAGGTAAACTATAAGTGTTTAACAAGATGGCGCATGACACCGAACGTTGAATATAAGATGAGTGGGGGGAGAACACACCAGAGTGTCGGCGGGGGTTTGGAAAGATAGGTATGTTATATCATGTATGGTGGGAGTGCCCAAAGATTCATTGTTTTTGGAGGACAATGGTTCATTTAATTGGGATAATCTCAGGGACAAAGATAGGTTTGGACCCAGAGTTGTGTCTACTACATAGTTCAGAACTATCAGTGAATAAATACAAGGATTCGGGTATATGGTACTATCTGCATGCGGCAAAGGGTCTGATACCCAAGTTTTGGCATAGTTCAGAGGTGCCGAGAGAAGAGGATTGGGTGGAAAGAGTGAACCAGATATATAGGATGGAGAAACTGTATTATATGCAAGAAGACAAGATGGGGTTATATAACAGAAGGTGGGGAAAATGGGAAGATTTTGTGTCCAAGGTGAAATATATGAAAGTAGTAGAGTGGGATAGGTGAAAGTACATATTACTTAGGAAAAGATGTAATGAGAAATGCAGAGTGGGGGGGTTTTATTAGTGGGGGGAGGTTGGTTTTTTGGGGGTGGGTGGGTGGGGGTAATAGCTAGGGGGGGTAGGGGTAAAGGGTATAAAGATAGAAGGGGAATAAAGAGAGAAAGGGATATAATTAATGGGTTGGATATATCTGAAAGTTTTGTTTGTTATAGGAGAGTAATGATGAAATTTGTATTTTATAAGGAAAATGAATAAATATTTAAATTAAAAAAAAAAAATAATAATAAGTTTGTGTTACTCATTTTTTTGGCTAGCCTTCTTTCTCCCATAATCAGCTAGTATAAGCACTGTCATTATCCATGTTTTTTTTAAATGTTATCCTCTAATACATTAGTCCTTAAATTGGACCTATACTCAAATAATAACATAAAACAACATTAACATTATTTATAGAATGGGAAAATGTGATTCCATCTAGAGTTTTGGTACACAAAGAAATCTGTTTCGAGATTTTAAGTCTAATATGGAGCAGATGCCTTCATTTGGTCTGGGTGGCTTTAATAAAAACCTTGGAACCTTTCCTCCGAAGATACTGGAATAATTTTTAGGCTGATGCTGGCAGTTTGGAAGGTAGGAAGTGTGGAGGGAACAGAGATAAAAATCTTATTTTGTACCCCACTGAAATGACAGGTTTTTCTTATTTTCCCAGGCTAAAAGGGCCTCTTTTAGCTGTGGAAAATCATGTGCTACTGGGCAAACACTAGATCGTGCTGAATCTATCAGTGAGTTGATGGTGGAGAGAATTTGTCCAGAAGCCATAGCTTGTGGTACATAAAATGTAGGGGTTAAAAAACTCTTCTGCAGGAATCGCAATAATAACCTAGGCACTAACCAGGAACCAGTAGCTGTGTCTCTGAGGTACCATGCAACAGGTGAGAAAGCAAAAAATCAGCTTGCATTGTCAAAAAATGGTGACTGGAAGTGTGCAGTCAGGATTCTTATGAGCACTACATCACTAGCTGAACAGGAACTCCCAGTAGTGAGGTGGATGAAAAGATTGCCAATTTTAAAAAGATAAACATTATAAATATATGTTTATACATATAGGGGCGAGTAAGTGAGATAATCATAGGGCAAAGACACTCAAATGTAAATTACCCCATATCCTGTTCCTTCAAAACCGCTTGTGCACTTAGCACTGTGGTACGTCTTGTAGGATAAAGGATATAATGTAGTATCAACTACATATCCAGATAAAAATCCAAAAGGTTATACATAACCAGGTACCATTATGTAAAAACACAGGGAAATCCTGTCTTACCTTATCCATATCCGCTATTCTCAGCCAGGGTCCAGGCTTTACCCGTCAAGATGGGCATTCCATCCTCAGGGTCTAAGTACCATACGGAAGTAGCATATACCTGGACTTCTATAGCACCTGTGGCTAACTCACCTCTGCACCATGGACCAAGCTGAGTGCCAAATTCAGGAGTCAGTGTCCCTAGCAAGCATTATAGGGAGGTCCTGGTGTTGCAGGGTCCAAGTACTGTTCCCAAGATGTAAGTTAAGGGTAAGCAATACGGAAGCTACTAGTGAGCCATGGGGCAACAAATAGTCGGATTCTGATGGAATTGGCAGTCAAAGTAGGAAGGAAAACTAGTAAAGAATAGAACAAAAAAAATATTCCCCAACAAGAGAAGAGGTGCATTACATAAGGACACTAGCAAACAAGAAATTTCAGTACAGGCTAATTTCATTCTTATATGTTCTTGTAACTTATTATTTTGCGAGTATCATGGATTTAAGATGTCTCCTGTCAGGCTTGTTGGTTCCATGTACAAGTGGAGAGCACTCTGTGCAACATACTCAGGAGTGCATACAAGGAAGGGCACACTGCCTATAGCACTGCAAATTTCAGCGGAGGAAGGTTGGACACTAGAATTAATCAAGACCTCTAACTCTCCAACTGTTTTTGTGAATGACTGTACTGCAAATGGCACAAAAAAGGCATTGAATAGAAATTCAGGGTTAATATGTAAAGAACAATAAAAATGTATAATAAACTAAAAAGGCAGGAATTGCATCGATGGCTAAAACTGGTCTCAGAAATGGTTTAAATGCCACAACCCTCTAGAACAGAAACTGTGGCCATTTGCTTGCCTTTTTCTGGCCCAATGTTGCTCACACTACTACAGGGCACTTCCTCCTACTGACTCCAATGATGGGGCATTTTTTGTCCCACTGACACCAATGATGGGGCACTTTTCCTTCCACTGACACCAATTATGGAGCACTATTCCTTCTAATGACACTAAGAATGGGGCATAATTCATCCCACTAATAACAATTGGGCATTATTGCTCCCAATGACACCAATGATGAGACATTATTACTTTTTTATACTATTCCTTCTCACCACAGGTGCTATGTAATTGTTTTACTCCTAATGACCACTAATCCTGCAACGCTGTCTATCCCCACTGAAGCTGGGGCTTCAGTCTGGAACCCTAAAGTCTGAAGGGCAGTAAAATGGCCCTTTTTTTAGTTTAGAAGCCTCTGCACTAGAACAATCGGTACTAAAATTGGAGAAGACTTACCTTGCTCTCACTGGCGCTTACACACACATGACTGTAGGTGTATTCTCTGTTAAACGTGTGGGTGAGCAGGCGGAGACACTGTAAAATTAATGAACTCATTAAATTAATAAATGAAGTACAAAATCCTACAAACCTCTTAGTCAAGTAATGACAAAATGTATTACTGGCACAAAGGCAATAGAAAACATCTAGCAAACTTATCTGTATTATGGGAAAATATGTAAAACTCCATTGCTGACATCTCCTTTAGAACATACTTGTCTTGCCGAATTTGGCTTAAATACTGTCTGAGTCACTCACTAAGAACAAGTATCGAGAAAGTGAAGTCTGAACTCTTAATCTGTATATTTGTTCTGAAAGTATTTGAGTTCAATGGATCACCAAGACAACCAACGCGAAACTAGGTTAGCAATGGTAGCTGCTGTAGTTCTCTCATGAAATAGATATTTAAAAAAAGCAGCATAAAGAACAGTGGCACTATGGAGATAGCCTTAACAGTCATACCAACAAATGCCAAACACCAATACAGCAGTTTTTTACTGAATACAATGACAACCTAATGTCTAAGGGGCATGCACAGATACCACAGGCCAGGGCTCAGCAGTGGGACTTAGTGAATGGATAGATTAAAAAAATCTTTTAGGATTCCTTTTTTCTCACTAATGAGTTGGTACCAACGATATCTGCAAAGTTCTCTCCATAAGCCAAAACATAAGCAAGCCTACGTATCCCACCATCCCTAGAGTCTAAAGCCAACTTTGGTGCAATCAGAATAAGAAAAGCTGATCTGGTTGGTTGTCTCAGGTAACCACAGTACCCCAAAATGCTCTCTTTTTAACAAGTAAGCACACACATCTACAAACTGATAGTCAGTTATGGTATATAGTCCTCTTAGCCATCCATTTACATATGCTGGTATTTAAATGGTAATCAGAGTTTGAGTGAATTTAGCAGACTGATCATTTGGAAACTCGGGCACTACCCGAGGGCCTGGAGTCAGTAGGGGGCCCCATGAGATGCCCCTGGTACCTCTTTCATAGGCTTTTTTGAGTTTGGGCAAGGACACAGGGTCCCCATGATCCCCTATTGCCCGGGGGCCCCATGAGTTGTCAATCCGCCCCTGGAATTTGGTGGAGAGTTTATCTCAGACAAAAGATAAAACACCAGCCCATAAATTAGCATTGTGTAAGATGGATTTTCCCTTAAGATGAACAGTTACCTTGGCGGCAAGCTCTTTTTGTCTCTCACTGGCAGTCTCCAGAGGGTTTTCCTCTACTTGTGGAGAGCCTTCCTCAGTCAGCTGCACCAGCTGGCACGTTGGGCTGAGGGGTGGCGTTTCATCACTAGGAGAAGGAGTAAGAGTATCTGTGGCTCCCCTAAGTGTGGATTCCAATTTCTCCCGTAGCAGCAAGTAATGTCGAGTCCTTTCAACCTGGAAAATTTTGAAAATGTTCAAT